ATCCCCTCATATACCTGCTATTCCACCCCACCCCCACCTCTCTCTTCTGCACCAATCTGCTATAGTTCACTGCCCCTTTTATACAGTCACCCACCCACAGATCCATCAACTCACCATCTACCCTTCCTCCCACCTTTCTAACAGCAACCCACTCACCCTTCCACCCACCAATCCATCCACTCATCCGTCCGTCCACCCACCCCCACACGTAGCCATCCACCCACCCATCTATTCCAGCCCCACCCACCGCCTATCCATCAATCTTCCCATGTCCGCTCATCCCGTAAATCCCTCTGCGTATCCAACTACTCAAACATCCATGTTCCCCCTCCACCCAGTCATCAAAGTAGCCGTCTATCTGTCCAGCCAGTCAGCCAGCACCTCCTCTCCCTGCGTCCACCCCGCCCCCTCCTGACTAATCCAGTCATTGAGCATGCCCGGCCCTGCTTCCTGCTGCAGGGCCAGGGATGACCCTGTCCAAGCATCATGACTCCCAGACGGATCGGGGGACAGAGTTGGAGGAGATCACCCTCATCTCACCAAGCACTCGGAACAGCTAAGTCACTTGTTTGCTATGCGCGGCGGCCCAGCGCAGGGCTTCCCTTTCTGCGCCTCAGCCAGGCCTTGGGCTTTCTGGCTCCCTGTTGCCATGTCCAGACGCTCTTTTGGGTCTTCCCTCGCCTGCCATCTGATGACAACAAGAGCAGGGCGGTGGAGGACAAGAGACGAAGCCAGAGGCCTGGTTTCTCTGCAGGGCCTGATGGGGTAGAGCGGGGCTAATGTCCCGGGACTGCAGTGAGCAGATGGGAGACAAGGGCCCTGAGGAGGGCCTGGGAGCAGCCTTGGGTCCCGGGTGTGAGGGTGCAGGACTCTCGGCTCGCCCACCTCGTCACAGGGGGCGATGCGGCCCACCAGGTCCTTCACGTGCCCGACGGTCGACTCCTCCTGGAAGTCCTGCGGGAAGGTCTCTGTCCACTCGGCCAACAGCTGGAGCAGTTTGGGGCCAAACTTCCGGACGCGGGCCTGCAAGGCAAGGCGAAAGGCACCCCCACCCGTGAGGGGTGCTGCAGCCACATCAGCCACGGCTCAGGGTAGCAGAAGTGGCTGCCAAGGAGGGCCGCGACACTGCTTTTCCTGTGCCAGGTGACACAGGGAGGCTCCCTGTTGTCATGTGGGTGGGACCTGCCTGAGCAGGAGTGAGGCAGTGGAGTGAGACTGGCCCAGAGGAAAATGGAGCAGAGGTAGGAGGGAGAAAGATGGTGTTTAAGGTCATTTGAACCTCTGGAGCCAGTGGTACTCGAGGCTTTGCATTTACATGAGGCAGCAAAGTCCCTTTGCCTTCAGCCAATTGTAGTTTGGTTTCCATCACCACAACAGCCCCATTGACACATGTATGGATAGTCACAACCTGAATGTGGCCAGGGACAGGGGATCCACAGGAAGGCTGGGCCACGAGGGGGGGATGGAGTGTGCTGGGGGCAGGAAGCCCAGCAGATGCTGCAAGGCCATCCCAGATGGCAGGGGTCCTACTGATGGGGCCCTAGGGGCCTGGGTCTGGGCTTGGTGCGAGCTCAAGGACTCCCATCGGACACTGGAAAGCAGTCCCTTGGGTTAGAGATCCCAAGTTGGTGCCTTCTGGCTCTGGGCCTCAGACAAGTCAGAAACCTCCTGTGGGCTGCTCTCCAGGAGAATAGGGACAGTCACTGCCTCTCCGAGGGGAGGGCCGGTGCAGGAGGGCATGCCAGGGCAGGGCCAGTACACCCCGAGGCCCGCCCCCGCTGCGCCCTGCCCCTCACCTCGTCCAGCACTGGCTTGTCCAGCTGCTGCTGCTCGATGCACAGGTGGCAGACGCGGGCCAGGAGCTCCCGGGGCTCGATGAAGAGGCGGGAGCTCAGCAGGAAGGTGAAGATGTAGGCTTTCTGGGGGGCATGGAGAGAGGAGGCAGGTGCTCACCAGGGCACGGAGGGGATACGCTTCTCAGCCCCCCCCACCACCAGGCTCAAGACCAGTCCCGGCCCTGCTGCCTCCCCCATGCCTGGTGGAGGAGAGCCCATTCTGCCGCCCCTTCCCCCCACCAGGTGCGCCACCCACCTCGGGGTAGTAGTCGGCTGTGGGCACCAGGTGCTGGATCAGGGTGTCCAGGGAGGCTGAGGATGGAGCCCCATCCAGAACTGACTGCTCGGCCTGCTCACCGTCCATGGGCTCAGTGGCGGGTGGGCTGGGGCTGCCTGGGGTGACCATGTTGGAGGCACTCAGTGTCTGAGGCATGCCTGCCTGCAATGGCAAGGAGCAGGTGGCACACACCTAAGCTGGGGCCAGCTGGCCCCTGGTCGCCTGGCTGGGCAGGCCCTGCCTCCCACAGGCACTTCTGTGCCCACCTGGACCCAGTGATCACTTCCCCGGAGGGCTGCCAGGGACCCCCAGCCCACAGTACAGCATCCCCCAGAAACCAGTTCTCCCCCACTCTCATCCAAGCCTTGAAGGGACTGCTCATTCCAGAGTCCACTCCTATGCTCAGTGAAGGGTGTTTGTGGCAAGGCCCAGACAATCAGCACATCCCTCACCCCCGGCCACAAAGATTGCACCCAGGATGAGTCTGATCTGAACTGGGCCTCAGGAGCGACCCAGAACTTCTGTGGCGCTTGGAAGCTCTTCCACTTGGGCTCCCTGAGCTGGTGGAATGTCATTGTTGGGACCATCCTGTCCCCAGAAAGGGCCAGGAAAGTGAGCACATTTCCAAGTCAGCGTATGAGGCCCTGGGTCCTGCTGTGCTTGAAACTGCTTGTGGACTTCTCCACTGTGGGAGCCTCGTTAAGCTGGGCCTCTCTCCAGTGCAAACAGTCGCCCTTTGAAGCCTGGCACTCCAGGCTGCTTGTGATTAGGCATCAATGACACGTCCAGCTGTTCCCTCCTGCAGGAAGGCCCCCCCCCCACTATCTTCACTCCTCCGTCCCTCTGGACATGCCCAAAATGTCTTCTCCTTGCTGGAGCCTTCCCTGCTTCTCTGCAGCGACCCACCCCCTTCCCCCTTCTCACTCAGACCGGACCTGACCTCCGGTGGGCACCAGAAGATGCTCCTTGTCAACACTGTTGAGTGCTGGGGGTGCTGCTCTTAGTGCCTGGTGCAGAGAAAGGCCACCTGCAGCTATCATATGGCAACTTCCCTCCAAACCTCCTCCAGGCGGGGGTCAGGGCCATCCTCTGACCTGGGACCAAGTCAAGGGCCTGGCCTGCAGCAGGCACCCTCCAAGTGTGTGCAGCGGACTTGTGCTTCTCCCAGGCTCTGCCATGAATCCTTGTAGCACTCTTCCTGAACAAAGCCTGCCAGGGCCTCCACAGACACAGACCCTGGCCTAGCCTGTGACTCTTTGACCGTCGCCCACACAGGACATGTAAGCCACTTCCACATTCTTAACCACAGAATCCTTTGGGCTCACCACAAGGACTTTCCAGGGATCAGAGTCTCCCCATTGCCCAGCTCACCTTGCCCCTGCTGCTGCAAAGCAGACCCTGTCCCTGGTCCATTTCTGCCTTTCCCCACCCCCTGGGTGACCTTCCTGAGAGGAGACAGAGGACTCAGAGAATCAGAGCTGACATTGGGTATCAGAGGGAGCCCACAGGGAGCCACTCCGAGGGTGTGAGGACTGGGTCACGGCATGGGGAGGGCAGCAGCCAGACAGTGCTGGTCCTGAGGACAGCCACAGCTTTATTTTCACCTACCCGGCAAAGCTGTAAGTATTCAGTGTTCAGCTGATGAAACTAAAATTAAAAAAGCACACCCTCCTGTTCATCTTTGTGGGAAGGCCTCTGAGCGTGTGGGGACCCAGGGGGGATGGTCAGCTCTGGGAGGGCACAGCTTTGCCCTGAGCCCAGGGCCCTGTGTCCTAGCCTAATTCCACAAGATGGAGCACACACGAGGCCAGCAAGGTCTGCTCTCTCTCGCCAGATACCTGGAACTTTCTCCCTGTGGTATGGGGCCTGCTGGAGATCCCAGTCCAGTTTTCTCAAGGACAGGCCAGTAGCTGAGGTGGAGATGATTCTGAAAACCTCTCTGCAGGGCAGCGGTCTGCCAGACGTGTGGGAGGGGCCCTTCTGTGAAGGCCAGGATGGCACCACTTCTAGACAAGCTGGGAAGCTCCTAGAGCACCTCTGGGTCTGGCCTGGATCTAGGGGGCTGGTGTGAGGTGCTGGCCACGTGGGGTAGGGGGATGGTGTGGGCCCAGCTCTGCCCTGGAGCTACAAGCTCACAATGGAGGCTAGGGGTGGGGTGGGGACCAGAAGCATCGTGATCCACAGGGACACCCAGAGAGTGGACAGGCTGCCAGTGTGCCCCTCCAACCTCCAACCAGCCATCGCGTCCCCAGCTGGGCCTAGGCCCGGGTCTCAATGGATGGGCCTGCCCTCCTACTTGCAGCCTCTGGCTTCCTACACTGTTGCTAAGGGACACTCATCCACATGTGTGTGCAGGTATGAGTGACTGCTGGCGCCGTTCTGGGCGCTGAGGACCGAGCAGGACCTCTTGGAGCTGGTGGGGGGCAAACAACAAGCAGGTGAGGTGAGCCCAGAGACTGTCCCACTGAGGCACCTCCTCTGTAGGACGAGCACAGGTGAAGGAAGAGGGGTGACAGCTCCCTGTGTTGGGTGTTCCCTCAAGAGAGGGTGGGGGAGAGCACAGCCTGGTGGCACCTACCAGTCCTCTCCCCTCCCCCGGTAGGTGTGCTGGACAGGATGGGGCGGTGGGGCCACCCCTGGCCTCTGCCTGAGGACAGCCGGCCTCCTCCCCCCGCAGGGGCTCCAGCCTGCCTGGAACATGGGGGGGGGGGATCTGCGCTGAGGACCGAGGGAGGGGGCAGCTGCAGAGACTTGCCAGGCGGGCCCCAGTGAAGGGCTCCGATGAGCTGGGGCACAGGGCACGATGCAGGTAGCAGGTGGAGGTGGAGGCGCCACCCGCCTAGTCCGCCCGTCCCAGAGGCAACTGCTGTCCTTCGTTCCTGTCTTTCCCGAGCTCCTTTATACAAGGACAAGCAAATATAAACCTATATTCCCCCTTTTCTGACTTTATTACACAAAAAAGTAGCCTGTTGCACATATCTCCGTGCTCCTTTCACTCACACCACGTTTTAGAGATCTTCCCCTGGCAGGACAGAGAATCCTTGTTCTTTTTAAACTTTTTAACTGACAGTGTTTGGAAGTCCATGTATAGTTTTAAAAAGCCAATGATAAAGCAATTTAGTGCCCATCGATGGGTGAATGGATAAGCAAAATGTGATAGATACACACAATGGAATAAAATTCAGTCTTCAAAAGGAAGGAAATTCTGACACATGCTAGAACATGGATGAATCTTGGGGACATTTGTGAAGTGAAATAAGTCAGTCACAAAAGGACAAATACTATATAATTCCACTAACAATGAGGTACTTAGAGTAGTCAAGTTCATAGACACAGAAAATAGAATGAAGGTTCCCAGGGGCTGGGGGCTGGGGAAATGGGGGGTTAGTGTTTAATGGGGACAGAATTGCAGTCTTGCGAGATTGAAAAGAGTTCTGGAGATGGATGGTGGTGATGCTTTAAAAAGTGTGAATGTACTTAATGCCCCTGAAATGTACACTTAAAAATGAAGATGGTCCCAGCTAGGTGTCTCAGTGGTTGAGCATCGGCCTACGATCCAGAAGATCACGGTTCGATTCCCGGTCAGGGCACATGCCCGGGTTGTGGGCTCCATCCCCAGGACGGGGTGTGCAGGAGGCAGCCGATCAATGACTCTCTCATCACTGATGTTTCTGTCTCTCTCTCCCACTCCCTTCCTCTCTCTGAAATCAATAAAGATATATATTTTTAAAAGCAATAAATAAATAAAAGAGCCAATGGTGATGGAAAAATAGTTTATTGTCACAATTTCCCTTGAAAATCCCTGAAATCACCAGTTCCCTGATCTATGCTTTGATGACCACAGCTTGCACCGTGTATGTGAGGAGGGGCCAGGAGCCTGGGGCCAGCATAGAGCCTGAGCTCAGTGGCTCACCACAGACGGGGTTCCTGGGGGACTGGGGGCTGCCCTGCCAGCCCCAATAAGGCACCATTTCAAGTTCTTGCTCTCTGCCTTGCCAGAGCCTGGGGCTCTGTGTGTGAACAGACAGGCATGAGCGTGGTGTGACTCCAGTGGGTGTCCACTTTATACCCATTAAATGAACGACAATAAAACAATGCTGTTTGGCCCTTAAATCCTGCTGGGCGGGTGTGGACATTGTCATAGTCATTTTGAATTGTACAAGATTTGGCTCCATGTGCCAAGAGCCTTATGTTGCATAGTGTCCTTTCACCTTAATCAAATCCTTGGAAATGTATCCCAAGAAAATAACCTGAAGAGGAAAAGCTATGGAAAGGCATTTGCTTGGGTGTTAATTCTAAGCAGTGAACACAATCTCAGAGCACCACTGATCTTCTGTATTTTTTTTTTTTTAGTCTCTATGTCATTTATTTTCATTCTGATCTTTATTATTTCCTTCCTCCTACTCTGGGATTTTCTTGTTCTCTTTCTAGTTCTTTTAGTCGTAGGTTAGATAGTTTATTAGATTTTCTTTTTTCCTGAGGTAGGCCTGTAGTGCTATGAACTTCCCTCTCAGGACTGCTTTCTCTGTGTCCCATAGACTTTGGGGTGTTGTGTGTTCATTTTCATTTGTTTCCAGGAAGTTTTTGATTTCTTTCTTCATCTCATTGGTAACCCATTCATTGTTTAATAACATACTATTTAGCCTCTTGGTGTTTGAATGTTTTTGAGTGTTTTTATGGTAGTCAATTTCTAGTTTCATGTTATTGTGATCCAAGAAGATGCTGGATATGATTTCAATAGTTTTGAACTGAGAGACTTATTTTGTGTCCTAACATGTGGTCTATCTTTGAAATGTCCCATGCGCACTTGAAAAGAATGTATATTCTGCAGCTTGGGGTGAAATGTTCTGTGAATATCAATTAAATCCATCTGATCTAGTGTGTCATTTAAGGTAGTTGTTTCCTTGTTGATTTTTTGCCTGGAAGATCTATCCAGTGATGTCAGGGGAGTGTTAAACTCCCCTACTATGACTTTATTGCTGTTGATCTTCCCTTAATGTCCCCCAAGAGTTTTTAAAAATATATTTAGGTGCTCTTATGTTGCGTCCATATATGTTTATCAGGGTTATATCCTCTTGTTGGATTGATCCCTTCAGTATTAACTAATGACCTTCTTTGTCTCTTGTATGGTCCTTGTTTTGAAGTCTATTTTGTCAAATATA